GTGCATTTTACTCATTTACTATCAAAAACCACAGGGTTGGGGGCTAGGCTGCTTGGTGGGCACAGGGTCTCCTTTTGATGGAAACGTTAGGCAGTGGTGACAGTCGCACTATACTGTGAACGTGCTAAATGGCACTGACTCGCACACTTTAAAATGGTTAATTCTATGTTACGAGAATTTCATCTTAAGTTTTTGAAAAACGCAAGCTTCTCCTGGCTGGCCGCTGCTCTTGGCCAGTCCAGTCATGTGATGTGTCGTGACCTGCAAGATCTCTGCCGACTTGCGAGGGAGTGGAAGTTGCATGGTGCACCCGGCCCCTGGCTTGCTGTATTAGCCCTGATGTCACAGGTCAGAATGGGTCTCACTGTCCAAGGGAGTTTGCGGGGGTGGGGTGGGGAATGAGGTGAGCTTGCAGAAAGCTGAGCAAAGGGCACGTCAGGGTCCGTGTGGGGTCCAAAGTACTTGGCCAGTGTTGGTTGACCATTCCTAGGCCTGGCCTTGGAGGGGGGCGGGCAGAGGTGAGGCCTCTGGGTGGGCAGGGCCTCGGCCTGGCGAAGGAGAGATCAGCTCCCTCTGTTTGGAGTCTGGCTCCCAGAGGAGCAGGGCTGGAGGAGGCAGGTCTGCAGGGGCTTCTAAATGCTCAAGTGACCCTTTCTCTGGGGACTGGGCTCTGCGAGGGCCCTGGAGCAGGGGAGCTGGCCTCTTGGTATTGGTCTTGGGGGAGAACGGCCGGGGGATGTGGAGCCTGACCGGGAGGGGAGGGAGATTGGGAGCTGAGGGCTCTTTGTTTGACCTTGAATTTTTGCAGCTAGAGAGCCACACCCTCCCTCCCTCCCTCCCTCAACACCCCTGCCTGTGACAGGTGGGGCTTGGCCACAGAGCTCCCAGAAGCAGGGAGGAGAGAGGAGGGAAGGAGGCAGAGGAGCTATTTTGGAAAAGAATGAGCCTCCTCGAGGAGGAGGTGCAGGGAGGAAGATCTGGAACAACAGGCAGCTCACCTCTCCTCCTGTCCCCACGGCTCCCGCAGCCGTGGGAGAGGGCGCTGGCACCGCTTGGCCACTGGTTTGGGGCAGCCAGGCTCCCACACCTGGAGACAGACCAAGGGTCGTGGGGTCCATCCCTGGCCTGTACTTAGCACAGGAGACAGCCAAGCACTGAAGATGCCAGCAGCAGGTCCCCATCATGTAGATGACAGGCTGGGCTGGGCACCCAGGCCCTCTGTCCTGTGGCTTTGGACCCACCAGGAGAGGCCACCTTCCTGTTTTCTCAGGAACCGCCAAGTGGATTAGGGGCTGAGTGGCTCTGCAGCCGTGTTCAGTGAACAGTCCCCGGGAGTTAGTGTCTCATTTTCAGTGTTCATTTTTATCAAGATGGAAATCTGTCCTGGATGCCCTGGGGAGGAGGGCAGCTGTCTTGAAGATGCACATGGGGGCAGTGGGTGGGGGCCCTGGTCCAAGGAACCTGGGGGATCAGGGTCATTTATTGCCACTGCTGGGGACAAAACAAGAAACCTGGCCTGGCAGAGGGGGTGCTCCCTGGAGACCTGGGGTTTGGGTCTGCCGGGCAGGGCGGGAAGACCTGAGGCCCCAGCGTCTGGGTCCTGTAAAGCCACGCCATTAACACTTACCCTGTCCTGCAGGCTGTGTGTACCCTCGTGTGGGTGCTGGAAGTCACGCGGCAGCAGCAAGCACCGGGGGGCTGCACTGCACACAGCCACATGTCCGCCAGTCCTTCATGCGTATGTGAGCTTTTCGTGACTGGGAGAAGGGCTGCCCCGGGTTCCTAGAGGGCATTGGGTCAGGTCCCAGGGGAATTGACATTGTCTCAGCGACCCCTCACCTGTCACCTCAGTTCACAGAATCACAAGAAAGTAAAAAATTTTAAGTGAGGTGATGGACATTAACCAAAGTACTGAGGTCATTGTTTTGCTGTGTGCACATGCATGGGATTATTATGTTGCACACCTCAGACTAGTGCAATGTTACATGGCAATTATATCTCAGTAGAACTGGAAGGAAAAGAGGTTTATGGAAACAGTGAAGGTCTGAGCTTTCCATGAAGGCTCTCAGTGTATTCCAATCTGTAGTGACAAAAGCCATCCAGAAGGACTCCGTAAAGTGTTCTTTCGGACTCCGTTAGTCACGGTGATTATTTAATGGCTGTGCCCTTGCAGTGTGCATTCCCACCCCCTCAGTGGCCCTCAGGAGGGCTCAGTACTCAGTTTCTCGCTGGCTTGGGCCAAGCTCTTCAATCGTTCTTTCTTTCTTTTTTTAATTTATTTTTTATAGAAGTACAGTCAGTTAACAATGTGTCAAGTTCTGGTGCACAGCACAGTGCCCCAGTCATGCATATACATACATATATTTGTTTTCATGTTCTTTTTCATTAAAGGTTATTACAAGATATTGAATAGAGTTCCCTGTGCTATACAGAAGAAACTGTTTTTTTAAATCTGTTTTTATATATAGTGGCTAACATTTGCAAATTTCAAACTCCCAAATTCATCCCTTCCCACCCCCTCTCCCCGGTAACCATAAGATTGTTTACTATGTCTGTGAGCCTGTTTCTGTTTTGTTCAATGGTGCTTTCAACCTGGGGGTGAGCCAAACCAAACGACAGGCTGACGGGTCAGGTGACAGGATCAACACAGAGGATGACCAGTTGGATTAAATTTAACAGGAGTTAATGAATCCCCCACCGCAAACGTTTGGACATACACGCACAGAAAGGACGTGGAAGAAATCGTCCGGAAATGAGCACTGTGTGTTGTAGCGGCTGTTAGGGCGTCTTGGTGGGTGCCCTGTGTCTGAAGGCGGAGACTTAGATGTCCTCTGTCCTTTGGCTGCCATGGGGCTGGAGCTGGGACTTGTGCGAATCCCAGGACCTTCAGCTGGATGACGTCCCCAGCAGATTCCGGGTCCCTGTTGGGAAGAAGGCTTCCCAGCAGTGCAGGCTCTGCCCCGATGGGGAGCCTGTCGCGGGGGGCAGGGAGAGCTCTGCCTGAGGTGCTTGAGAGTGGCTTCCTCGAGAGGGGCAGGCTGGCCCGGACGGTGGCCAGCGCTTGCCTGCTCTGAAGCCCATCTGACTTCATTATCAGTCCTCCTGGAGTGGGTCTAATAATGTCCCCCCAGATTCATGTCCACCCAGAACCTCAGAATGGAACCTTATTTGGAAATAGGGTCTTTGCAGATTCAATTAGTTAAGATGAGGTCATGGTGGGTTGGGGGGGGTCTCAACCCAGTGACTGGGGTCCTTCTAAGAAAGGGAAGAGGATACACAGACAAGGCCACGTAGAGACAGGCAGAGACTGGAGTGATGCAGCCACGAGCCAAGGATGCCAGGAACTGTTAGCAGCCACCAGAAGCCTGGAGAGAGGCCTGGCAGGTTCTCTCCCTGGAGCCTTCAAGGCAGTGTGCCGACACCGTTTTTCACTGAGTTCTGACCTTCAGGCCTGTGAGAGAATCCTCTTCTGCTGTTTAAAGCCCCCAGTTTTGTGTTACGGGAGCTCCAAGAAGCTAATGCACCCTTCTGCCTTGGCCCTGGCCGGTCTCTGGGCAGCTCTGTGAACGGGAAGGAGCTCTCCTGACCTCACCCTTGTCTTAAAGACCTGAAAGTCAAATGGAAAACTCTTGGTATTTTTCACGATGCTACATCCCCTGCCTTTTCCTTTTAGAAAGTATTTTACGCTCATAGTCAACATGGTAACATCCACAAACATTTAAACGTGATCACAGTTTGGACAGAACTGTAAAAAGAAACCATGTGGTTCCATCTCAGCCTTGGGAGCACAAAGCGGAGCATGGCGGCGCCTGGCTGCTTCCAGCTCTGCTTCCTCTCTGCTCCTCCGCCCAGCTCTGGCCGCGCACCCATTTTTCCTTTCTCCTCCTCCTCCATCTCCAGCCTCTGAACCTACTCACATTCACCTCTGGCTAAAGGTGATGAAGACAGCAGGGTGGGAAAATCAGTTACAATCCAGGTACTTTGCCTACACAATTCTAAACGACTGGATCTCGGGAAAATGGAGAAACCAGGTAGATTTTCCAGCGTATGTCCAGATGTCTCTCATCCTATGGACACCCCCAGCATCTTCTCTGTCCTCTGGAAAATCTGTCTGTCCAGGTGGATGGGCACGACTTCAGCTCAGGCAGCCTGCGTCTTCCCTCTGCTCATGACCTTGCTTAGATTCGGCTGAGCACATCCGCACAACAGGGACAAGAGTGCTCCTTCTGTGGAACAAGCTTCGCACAGGCCTTCCCACAGGACCGCCTGGGGTTGCCTAGCAATCTGACAGCACTCTGCCTCAGCAGACACGCGCCTCGGATGGAGTCTTCCTATTTTTAATTTGTTTTCTGGGTGGGTATTATTGTGCAATCACAGGCAGAGCTCAAAGGCATGGCGTGGGTCCCACTCAAAACAAGATCTGAGAAGACAGGGAAGGACCCACCCGCCCCCGAGCGGATCGTGGCATCTGCTCTGGGAGGCTCTTGGCTCTGGCTGTCGGGCCTGGGTGTAAAAGTTGGACAGTGGCTGGGAACCCTCTGCTGGCTCCTCTGATGCATTTACCAGGCCACCTTGGCTCCCCTCAAAAGCTGGGTTACCAAGCAGCCCAAAGAGCAAAATGTGCACGATGTGGGCATGGGACCCTGAGCTGCCTGGAGCTCCCTCTGACATTTCCCAGCCACGTGGGAGGAGAGATGGGATGGTGTGCAAGTGGCTTACCCTCCTCTGAAGAAGATAAATGTCAGAACTGAAAGCAACTGGGTACTGATATAGAGCTGCACGCTCTTAAATAAAATATCAAGTCTGGAAATGTGTGTGTGCGCGTGTGTGTGACACTGCAGATGCACCTACCTGCTCCCCTGCATGTGAAGTAAGAGGCAGCGTGGTGGGGGCCGGGGCGGCGCTGCTGTCAGAGCCAGAGGCTGAGTTCAAGGTCCAGAGCTGCTGCCTGGGTGCCGGGAGGCCCCGCAGGGCACCTGGACACAGTGGCCTCAGTTTTCTCATCTCTCTGGAGCTGCCTCCAGCTCTGAAATGCCGTGATGACGTGGTGACAGTGAAACCAGGGGAGGGGGTGAGATCGCTGACGAAGACACGTGAAAGGACTGGCAATGGAGTCTCAGGAAAGCTTGGCATTTACGGAGAAGCAGGGGAACCGACGGAGGTGCGGAGGGAGCTGCCTCAGGAGGGCAGAGCAGGAGAATGCTGTCATGGAGGAGAAAGTCCTAGAAAGGGAGTGGGGAGTGGGCCCCCTGGCCTGCATGATCACGTGCACCTAGGAGGGTGACTCCTGAACCTGGTGACCCCAGCAGGGCCATTTCTGTGGGGTGTTGGGCAGGAGGTGGGGACCGTTTGTCGATACAAGGAAGGAGACATCAGGAGAGCAGCGCTAGGGCTGGCTCTTAAAGGATGGGTGAGGACCTACCATGCGTTTAGACTGGTGGCTAGGGCCCCCAGAGCAGGGAAAGTGAAGAGGAGGAGGCCCAAGGGGGCGGGACCTGCCGGTGGCGGGGGCGGGGGGTCAGAATTTGAAAGGAAAGGCAGCGGGAAGAAGAGATGAACACGAAGAGAAGATGTGAGGGAAGAAAGCTGCTCACGTCTGAGCCTCCCTTCCCTGTGAAGAAGACAGCGCCCTTGTCTGCCAGGAACTGGGGTCGGGAGGGCCGGGGGTGGGCAAAGTCTGGAAGGTTTCTCAGGTGTGGAGGAAGACGGGGAAGCCAGCCCAGCGGCCGCTGCCGCGGCTGGGTGTGCGCTGGGCGCCCCCTGCCAGCTGTGAGCAGAGGCCAGGGCCCGGGCTGGCTGGGCACCCACAGTGTCACTCGCTGAGTTTGCTGGCTGGTGCCTCTGACCTCGAGGGTCCGGAGAGATGCAGCCCCCGGAGTCCTGCGGAATATAAGCTTTTGCACAGCTGCTCTGCATTTTGTGTGCAAGAATGTTAATGGGTTATTTGAATAATAGGTTCCCTCAGGCCCTGTGGGGCTGTCCCTGTGAGGTAGTCAGTCGTTAAGATAGGTAGCACTTCTCTGCGGCGTCCTACCAAAGGCCCGGAGCACGGCCAAAGTGGAAAGCGCAAATATCCAGCAGTGGTGGTGGTGGAGAAATGGAAATGTTTATATATTTACATGTAGCATAAATATTGATGTGTGTGTAGAGAGAGAGAGACAGAGAGAGAAAGAGCCTGGCAAGGAGGTTCTCACTGCCCTAAGTAATTTTATAATTTACTCTGTTGGATTGAAAGACCAAACAGGGAAGCGGTAATGGCTGTAAAGTATGCTCTCCACCAGCTGGTCAGGAAGACTGACAAGGACAAAGAAGTCCCTTCAGACCGTGTTTTCCTCAAACATCGTAATGTTGGATCATCATCTACTCATGTACAAGGTGACGAGTGTGAAGAGCTAGCCACGGGATCCTCCCTGTCCGTGGCTCCTTTGGGCTGCTGCTCTGGCTGCAGCTCCATCAGGACCTGGCCCAAGGAGGCCGAGTACAGATAAGCACCTGGGCCAGGTGCTCCTGGCATTAAAAGGGCAGTGCAATACCGGGAGGTATTTTAGTGGTGACAGCCATCAGCAGGTCTGTGCACTGGACAGTTGGACGTGTCACCATCCTGCTCTAATCTGGACAGCTGTCCTCCTGAGAGCTCCCTTCTCTCCCATCCTCTGGCTCCCCTTCCTCTCTCCCTCTCTTACTGGATCCACTGTTTCATCTGTCCCTTGTCATCCCTTTTCATGCTTTACTCCTTTGTTTTGTTGGAACACATCCTCTAGTAGCTTCCTGAGAAATGATTCGTGGGAGGTGTCTTTTTTTTTTTTTTGAGTACCTTTTCATGAGTGAATGTCTTTATTTGGGTCTCACATTAGATTGTTAATTTGGCTAAGTAGTGCATTCTGCGCCAGAAGATATTTTCCGTAAGTGCTCTGAAGGCTCTGCTTCATTGTCTGTTAGCTTCTGCTGTTGTTAAGGCTTCTGAAGCTTGTTCTTATTCCTGCTCGTTTTTATGGAACCTGGAAACTCGTGGAAACTATTTTTTGTCTTCAGTGTTTTGCTTTTAATGATAATATGCCTTCATGTGGGTCAGCTTCCATCCGGTGTGCTGATGTGATGAGAATTTGGAAACTCATTTCTGGGAAGATGTGTTGAGTTGAAATAAATAATTCTCTCTCTCAGGCCAGGTGGAATGGAAGGAAGGGCACCTGTTGTGTGGATGCCGGGCCTCATGAACTGGTCATCTGACTCTTTCATCCTTTCTCATTTTTCTCTGCTTTGTCTTTTTGCTTTGTATTCTGGGACACTCTCTCTCTTCTATCTTCCAACCTGTCTGTTGAGGTTTTTGTTTCTTTTCTCACACATTTAATTTTCCAGCCCTTTTTTTGTTCTCTAAGTGTTCTCCTTAAAATAGCACCCTGCTCTTGGTTCATAGATGCAACATCTTCTCTGCTGGCTTTGAGATATTAAAAACATGGCTATTTCTCCTCCCCGTCTAATGTCTGTTTCCTCGAAATTGCCCCACCTGGGTGGTTTGGTGGCTGTTTCTCTTAAAGTCTTTCCTGAGATGTCTGGTAATGCTGGGTTATTGACTCACAGGTAGGGGAAGGGACCGCAGAGCTGACTGGAAGTTCTGGGGATTGGGTGGGCTTACCCACCAGGGTTTCCCTCTAGGGAGACTGGCTCAGTTCTCTGGTGGGAAACCGCACAATGATATCTTCAGGTTTCTCCTAAAATCTACAGGAAAGGGGACAAGACTTTTCTGGTCTCTTGCCTGGAGGATGTTGGTGCTGTGGGGGCTAAGTGAGATGCTCAGCCTTCAGAGTGCAGGACACCCCTCTGTCACCATACATGAAGTCCCCCAGGCCTCAGAGGCTCTGCTTCACCATCCCCAGGGAACAGCCTTCCAGGGTGGCCAGCCACCCAGGACCTGCATGCTCTTTAAACAGATCTCTGCCGCTCCTAGCTGCCTTCCCCGCTTCATGCGCACCTATCCCAGTGTTCTGAGCCTTTGAGGGTTCTGTTTCCCAGCTTTCCCCAGGAGGGGCTGGGACTCAGCTCTGCAAGGCTGGGCCCTGCTTGTCCATTTGCCTTCCTGCTGCCCCCATGTTGTCGACAGTTGTCTTTTCTCTGTTCTCCGTCTCCTTGGGGGTTTATATCTTCAAAAAAACCTCTTTTCATAGCTTTAGTGGAGTTTTCAGAGGGAGTAAAATTAGCCCTGTGTGTTTAGTTGTCATTTTAGGCCCCGAGCTAAATCCCCTCCTGTTTCTTTCCTAATCATTATCGTGAAGGGCTTTTCCCGGCTCTTCCTCAATGGGCTCACGTCTTTTTTATTTTTTTCAATAAAGGTTCTAAATCAGAGATTTGTAAAATTCCCTTCAGTGATATCCCAAGATGGGGCCCCCCAGCTGTTCCTAATATGAGGGCATACAGACTGGCCCTGACCCCCTTTTTGGCCAGGTCCCCATTCCACAGCAGCTGGAGCTGGAAGGGCGAATTCCCTGGGGCTTGTGACGAGGCCAGCCTCGCCAGGGCCCGTCCCCAACGGGGATCTTGATGTGCAGGTTCTATGGCTGATCCTGCTACAGGTGCCAGCCTCAGTCCATTGGCACAGGTGTGTGAGCAGACCTACTGTGTGCTGAGTGCTGGCTGGGTTTGGTGGAGCATGGGAACAAGGTTTGGTGCTGTCTTCAGAGACCTTTTCTGGAATGATCCAGAGGAGCGACTCATGCAGATCTGCACCTTGCCTGTGAAGTGAAAGACGTGCCCACAGGGAGACAGGTGGGTGATGGGGAGTGGGTGGGCCTGCCCACAAGTTGGAGGCCTGGACCATCTGACAGCAGAGGACAGAGAGAGAGCCAATTAGGTCTTTTGAGCAGGGACTTGCCATTTCAAACACGGGGGCTGGGGAAAGTTCAGTCAACCACACAGCTGTCTCACTGGTAGACAAGGCATTTATCCGGGGTTTAGCTGTAGGGCGCAGAAGCTAACTGTAAAGTGTATAGAATGACTCCCACTGACCAGGACAGATCAATGACCCAGACTGGCTGGAGGGCTAGAAATTAAAAGCATTAAGGTCTTAAGTGAACAGTAGCCACTTGTCTTGGACACTGTCTGTCCTCGCTCTGCAGGGAAGGCAGCCACCAGTGCAGAGCCCCAGGCACGCAGGAGCTGAGTTTACATCCTTCCCGTCACTGGCTCTGAATCCTCCAGGCCCCTAAGAAACCCCAGATTCCATGACGTCAGGGCAGTCAGGAGCAAGGAGGAATCCAAGTGTTCCGGAACCAGCACCCGGAGGTAAAACAACCTGGGACAGGCTTGTCATTCGCTTTAGGCTGTGAATGTCTTTGAGGGTGTGGCGCATTTCCATCCCCCTCTTACCTTCCTCAGTGGTGCTCCAGGAACTGCATCTGCCTGTCTTCCACAGAAACAGGAGCAAGGCCCTGCCCAATCCTGCGGGTCTGTTTGGGACAGTCGAGGCCCCCCTGCCTGCCTTTCATGTTGACCTCACTGCTCTCCATGGGTCTTATTCTGCCCGCCCACACTGGCCCCATTCCACTGACCCTTGGCCTCCGCTTTCCTTCTGCTCCCCTTCCGAGGCTAAAGACTGCCCCCCCCCATACCGGAGTCCCTTCCCCTTGGGTTGGGGAGCTGGGAGTAGGGACAGGAACGACCTGCTCTTCTGATTTTAGGCAAATCCTAAGCTGATCTCCTGCAGGGGCAGACCCTCTTCTCCAGGCAAGGTGTAAGTGTTTGAATCGGGTGGGTTGGTCAGTCTGGACAAACATCCAAGCAGTGACCCTGTGTGGCTGGTACACTTACTCTCTAGTTCCCAGGAAGGCCAGGCTCTGAATTTCAAGCCCTAGTAAAGGGCTGGGGACATGTGGGCAAACTGGACGAGGAGGCCAGGCAATGCAGAAAGGAGGCAGAGGGGATTGCTGGACATTCACCCCGCTGACCAAGTCTCATTTCTGCAGATCCCCAGTGTTGTCCTTTCTGGGCTTGGGCCAGGGTGCCAGGAGAGTAAGGGTCGTTAGGGATGGCCCGGCTTCAGGATCGCCCGGAGGGAGGGAAGGGAGGCGGGGCCCCGTACCGGAGGGCGGCGCTCTCGGGGCCTGGGCAGCTCTGGGCTCTGGGGTC